CAGGAATACGCCGTGAAGATCATCGACATCACGGCGGGAAACATCTCCCCCAGGGAGGTGCAGGAGCTGCGAGAAGCCACCGCCAAGGAGATCGACATCCTCCGGAAGGTCTCGGGCCACCCCAACGTCAGTAAGTCAGGCCAAGGGAGTTTTCTGCTCCTTTGATTCTTTGGGGTGTCCCCAGGAAGAGGTTTTGGGGTAAAATCCCTGGAGGGTCCCGATGATCCCAACGTGGTACAGGGCACCTGCTCAGAGCATCCTTGGCTTTACCTCCACACACGTGCCCAGTGGTACCCAGGCTGCCTGGGTTATCTCCCAGCCAAAACACTAATGAAGATCAGCTCCTCGTTAATTTAATGGACTAAAAATTGCTGATCTAATTAATGGACAGAACACACTCTACTCTGTGCTCACAGCCCCCATGTTTTATTGCAGTCCAGCTGAAGGACAGCTATGAATCCAGCACCTTCTTCTTCTTGGTGTTTGACCTGTAAGTACCAGTGTGCCCATCTCCACTCTGCAGCCAGCCCCAGCCAACACTCCCCCAGGTTTTTACAGTCCAAACGGGGCACAGTGGGGAGACAAGCAGCTCTTGCTCAAGGTAGAAATGAGCCTTGATTGCTGAGGCAGCTCCTTGCAGCCCTGCAGCCTTTTCCCCTCAGCAGCTCCATGCTGCTCAGGTTTCCCTGTAACCTTTGGTGGGAGCTGTCATGCATCCCGGGGGTTATTTATATGCCCAGTGGGACCAGGGTGTGTGTGACACCACAACTCCTGTCACTGGGGCTGCACAAAGGATGGCAGCAGAGGAGGATGGCACCAAAAGAGCCCCGTTCCTGTCCCATCCAAACCCCACCCTCTCCAGGGAGAGCTTTTCCTTGTCCTGCAGCCAGATAGAGACTTTCTTGCCCTTTTATTAACAAGTTGGCTGGTCGTTTTGTGCAGTGGGTGCCTTGGGGCTGTTCAGAGACAGAGACCCCCAGGCCATCCTGGCTCTGGGGGTGGGTTTGCTGCTGCAGCTCAGCCCCTGCCTGCCTCTTTTCCCTCCCACTTGCAGGATGAAGAGAGGGGAGCTCTTTGACTACCTCACCGAGAAAGTCACCTTGAGCGAGAAGGAAACTAGGTAAGGCTGGATGCAGGTGGCTCACAATCGTGGTGCAAAAGCAGAGCAGGGGTTCAGAAGATGGCCTTGCAGCCATCAAGTGCTGGTTGGCACTCAGGCTAGGAGAGGTGCTGTCTCATCCCCAGGAAGATCATGCGGGCGCTGCTGGAAGTGATCCAGTACCTCCACTCCATCAACATCGTCCACCGGGACCTGAAGCCGGAGAACATCCTCCTGGATGACAACATGAACATCAAGCTGACAGACTTCGGGTTCTCCTGCCAGCTGCGTGAGAACGAGATGCTCAAAGGTAGGAGGAGGGGGAGGCAGGGGCAATGCTGGGCTGGCCCGTGGCCACTTGGGGGCTGCAGTGCCCAGGGCGAGTTGGTGGAGCCTCTGGCCCCCGTGTATCCTTGAGTCAGTCTCGCTGCTGGTGCAGGCTGGTGCTCACACACCAGCCCAGCTCTGCCTGCAGCACAACCTCCACACCCCACTCCTTGCCAGGAGGGAGTTACTGGCCATTAGGAAAATCATCCTTTCCACATCTTATTTCCTCCAGTTGGTCCTCATCACCCCATCCATTTATTGCCCAACATTAACATTTTTTTCCCAAATCCTGCACTGCAAAACCCCACATATCCAGCAAAGGGCAACCCCCACACCAGCATCCTCATCCCTCTGGCTCACGTTTTAGCTGTTATAACCCACCAAGTCACCAGTGAGATGCACACAAGTTGCAGTCACTCCCTGTGAGAACCATGGCTGCAAAGATCCCATCTGGGATCTGTAACCCCCTCAACAACTTCCCAGAGGTGGGAGGGTGGCACAAACCCTCCCAGGTGGCTGAGGGGATGCTCTGCCCTGTCTTTGCAGAGATCTGTGGCACCCCTGGCTACCTGGCCCCCGAGATCCTCCAGTGCTCCATGGATGATGAGCACCAAGGCTACGGGAAGGAGGTCGATATGTGAGTGAGACTCTTGCCTTCCCACCTCACCCCTTAGGCTGCTCCCAAAACACAGGTGGTTTGAGGCACAGTGAGAGCTGTGTAGGTGGGAGGCAGTTGGAGCATTTGGAAAGAACTAAATGATGCACCAGAAAATGCCCCTTGGAGCCATAAGGGTTTGTCCCAGCGACCAGGGGCCTGTGGCACAGAGCTGAGGGAGAAGCAGCCTGGGGCTCATAAAAATCAACTCAGGGGCTGGGCTCCAAGACACAGGGCTTTTCAGCACAGCACATAGCAAGGCATGAGGCCAAGGCATTCCCTGAGAGAGCAGCCAGCTCAGGAAAGCCCCTCAGTGTCCAGCCTGAGCCCTGTGGTGACAAACTCTAGTGGCTTCAGGCTCAGTTCTACAGCTATCAGAACTGTGATGGACCACTGAGGACACACAGGGGCATTTCAGCCCCTTTTCAGTTTAAACACTTCCAAGTAAACCCTACACTAGGACACTGCACAGCACAGCCTGAGCCAGGACAGCCCCAGAGCAGCTTCTCTCTCCCTTAAAAATCCCCAAGAAAAGCAAATAGTGCCAACTCACAGCTTCCTCCTGCAGCACCCAGGGGAGCAGCTCCACAGCAGCTCCTCCCCAGCAGTGGGGCAGCCCCTGCTCCTTATCACCCCTCAGGGCTAACAAGCCCCAGCAGGGAGCTCAGCCTCCCTCAGCACACCATACAGGGCTGTGTCCCGGCTTCCCAGCTGGGGGGATGCCCTGAGCCACCTGCTGGGTGTCCTTGGGGTGTCTCCCAGGGCTGAAGGGTCCTGCTGGGCTGCCCACAGGTGGAGCACTGGGGTGATCATGTACACCCTGCTGGCCGGCTCGCCGCCCTTCTGGCACCGCAAGCAGATGCTGATGCTGCGGATGATCATGAACGGGGATTACCAGTTCAGCTCCCCGGAGTGGGACGACCGCTCCGACACCGTCAAGGACCTGGTAGGCGCTCAGGGATGGGAACAGCTTTGTGGGAGGGTTTTGCAGACAAGCCTGGGTCGACGTGGTGTCTCCTTCCTGCAGATCTCCCGGTTCCTGGTGGTGGACCCGCGGCAGCGGTACACGGCCAGCGAGGCGCTGGCCCACCCCTTCTTCCAGCAGTACGACGTGGAGGAGGTTCGGCACTTCAGCCCCTTCCGGAAGTTCAAGGTGAGGTTGGGTGTGGGGGTGTCTTGGTGCCCCAGCCCTGAGCACAGGAGCTGCAGGAACCCAGCAGTGGGATGGCTTTCCCAGCTGAGCTGGGAGGAACCGGGAGTTCAAGGAGGCTGATGGATCTGGGCTGCAGCAGCCCAGCTGGAGACCTTTCTCCAAGCACTGTTTTGCTTACTTGATACTTCCTAAGGGCTCTCCCACAGGAGGATTAAATAAGAAAAGGGGAGATCCTGCCTCCCCCATGAGTCATTATAAAAAATAAAATGAAAATACTTGCTTCTAAGGGGAAGTGGATAAGCCCAACTTCACATGGGTGCATCAAAGTGCTGCAAAAGTTGATAAAACAGAGGCATCTTTTCCTTCCCCTATAGCCAGCCCTTAGGGCAGCCCAGAGGCACCACAGGTGACATCAGGTGACACATTTAGGACCGACCTGCAGTTTTGATGTTAAGGTCGTGCTTGGAAAAGCCTGTACCCCTCAGACAGGGTAAACACCTGTGCCAGGAGCCAGGCTGCAGATGGACAGGGCCATGTTGGGGCTGATCCAGCCTGTCCCCCCATGCTGCAGGTGATCTGCCTGACCGTCCTGGCCTCGGTGCGGATCTACTACCAGTACCGGCTGGTGAAGGCGGTGACGCGGGAGCTGGTGGTGCGGGACCCGTACGCGCTGAAGCCGGTCCGCAAGCTGATCGACGCCTGCGCCTTCCGCACCTACCGGCACTGGGTGAAGAAGGGGGAGGCCCAGAACAGAGCTGCCCTCTTTGAGAACACCTGCAAGGCCATTCTGCTGACCCTGGCAGCTGAGGAAGGGCTGTTCTGATCACTGCCGCCTAAACTGGGAGTTTGCTCAGAGTTAAGGCGAGTAAAATCTTTTGAGAACCAACCCAAAAAGTGTTTTCTTCTCCTTTTTCTTAAGAAATGCGGCTGGCCTCGGGTCAGGTGCAAATGCAGAGCCAGCAGATGGCTGCAGTTTGCCCCTGGGGCACATCCTGCAGGGCTGGATGAGTTTGCAGAGGCTGCCTTCTACAGAGCTCTGACCCAGTGCAGCTGCTGCTGGGGACAGCTCAGCCCAGCACCACAGAGGGACCCTTTCCAGGCAGTCGCAGGTGGAGGGGGGATGAGCAGTGCCCAGAGGGGTGTCCTCACCCACCAACATGCTCAGGGCTCCTGCTCCCATCAGATATGCTGGCAGAGCTTGTGCACATCTGGTTTGTAGCCCTTATGTTGGCTTTAACACCTAGGAAAGGTGGGGGGCTTATCTGTGTCATCTGTGTCCTTAGAAACCAGCACACATGTGGCTTTGTCACTGTTTAAGACTCAATAAAGGTGCCTTGCTTCACTTCTGGGAAGGCTCAGAGGCTGGTAGCAAGCTGGGATTTTCCAAGGAGATGGGGATGAAAGTAAAAGTTCCCCTTCTAGTGATGTGTCCCCTTTGCTTAAGCCTGGCAGCCACCCCTCCTGCGGGTGGTCCTGGGGGGCTGCATGTGTTTGCTCCAGCTGGAGGTCAGAGTAGCTCTGCCCCGTCCCACTTCTTTAAAACAGACTAAAAAGAGAGCTGCAAGATCTGCTGCACCCAGAGGACACTAGAGACAAACCCCTGTCTGCCATTCCCAGTGCGTGCCCAGACATCCCGGTGTAGAAAGGAGTTTTAGCTGAAAGTATTTATTTTTGTACATTTTTAAAACTGTCTGGGTTTAAGGAAAGTGGCTGCTGGGGGTTCATCTCCACAGGAGAAAATGCCTCCAGGTCTTCTCAAGTGACCCTCAGAGCTCGGGTTTGGTCTGGCTTTTCCCAGCGCTGACCGGTGGGACGTCGGCAGCGCAGCGGAAGCTGAGGTTGTCGGAGGCTGAGTCTGGCGTGTTCCCCATTCTCACAGGGGAAAAGACACCCAGTTAAGGATCCTTCCTGGTTAATGCTTACATCCTTTCATGTGGCCCTCTAAATAAAACCCCCTTCTTTTACAACCAATCAAGAAGAAAGAGCTGCAAAACAGTGACCGGGAACGGCCCAGACCTACCTGGTGGTGACACGAGCTTTGTGGTTTGCAGACCCATCTGCAGTGTCCACCCAGGAGGCTCCTCTCAGGACCTGCATTTTCTGGGCATGTTGCCTTGCTGAGTGCCCTGGGGCCAGGTACTCTGATGCTGTCCATTCCCAGGTGTTTCCCAGCAGGTCATAGAGCCCTGAGACACAGATGGTTTGTGTCACAATGAGAGCACATTTACAAGGGCTGCAGGAGCACTTTGGCATATGGGTGCAATCTTCACAGCGTGGTTTAATGGTGACACTGGGAACCAGCAGCTCTTTATTGTGTTGCAAACCTGCCCCTGTTAACTCGACCTTCAACAAATCTCTCATTTAAAGATCTCTCATTGTTTCCCACCTGAAACAGCATCTGCTGCACTCAAAACAACACGCTTGGAATTTTCAGATAAATCAGATGGAAGTGAATTCTAATGAAAAGCAGGTGCGTTGAAATGTACCAAGTGCACATCAGCCAATCTCAGTCCCAACCAGCAGAGCTTTTGCTGGGCTGTTACTCTGTCAGGATGCTGACATGATCCCACATCATGCCTGAAACTCTGCTACCACTACAGGATTTATAATTGGTGTTAAAAGAGGAGTGCCCTCCCAGAAGCAGGGCAGGGGTGTCTGCTCTGTACCGTAGTTGTTCTGAGGAGGAAACGCTGCCACCGGCGAGACGCCGTGATAACCATCTGCAGCCGTGTCTGCCCGTGGGAAATCACCCTGTGGGAAGAGAGACCACCTGAGCAGAGACCCACCACGGGGGGGACACCCAGTCCTGCTCCTCACAGGACACGTAACACTTAAGCAATAGAAATAACTGAGTTGTAAATAAACCCTAGGCAGCATTTCTGGCCGAGAGAGGAGATCAACCATCTAAAGTTCTCCCAAGACAACCCCCTTTTCAAACAAATTTATCTATGATTTTTGGGTGATGTATCAATTTTTGGAAGCACTGGAATCTCTGTTTCCCAGCTGGGCTGAGCCTGCTCCCTCTAGGGGCATTTATGGATAACCCCCCAGGAGCTGGGTTTGGGTACCCTGCAGGTCAGCCTGCACTGCTTCTCAGGACCATGCAGCTGCCCAGGGGGCCACACACCCTCAGGAGTTGAGTCCAGCACCACCCCCAGATGAGCCCAGCACATACAGGATGATTTTTAGGATCTTACCTGCCACAGATTTGTACGGTTCAGCTGAAACTTGTTTCCCCAGGGATAGACCCTTTCTACAAAGGAGGAAGAGACACCCATTACCCTGTGTCACTCCAGCCTCTCCATTTGCCTGTTTTCAACCAGGCTTTTATCCCGTCCTTTTCCTCTCAGCTCAGAACACCCAGGGGGGTTATATGAGGGCTTGTCAGTCTAATCCCTACAGACACTGCCAGGGAGGTGAGGAGAGATGGGAATCAGCAACAGCTCCCATTTCCAAACCAGCACTCACACCAGGGAGTGTGGGGGCAGGTGGGTCACTCCTTGCCCCAAACCCAAGAAAAGGGATTTTTAGCTGGCAGAAGTGTTTTGTTTAGGAAGATACATTGACACCATAGATAAGCCATTTCTTCCATTATTATTATCATTATTTTAATTATTAATTTGACTCCCAGGCCAAACGAGGTGGTTCAGCCCCCCTGGATTAACCTCTGAAAACATCCCTGGCTGGAGGTTTAGATCAGGTACAACTAACATTACTTAATGCCTCAGCTTGGAAAAGGTGAGAGCTTGGGGTACATACGCTCCAGGCCTCCCCTGGCAGCAAATTCCCACTCCTCCTCTGTCAGGAGCCTCTTCCCTCTCCAGGCACAAAACGCCCTCGCGTCGTTCCAGCTCACGTGCAGCACCGGGTGATCCAGCCTGTCCTTGATGCTGGAGCCAGGGCCTGAGGGCTGGGAAGCATGGCAGCAAACAGGTTGGAATTGATTCTATCAACTTTTCAATCAAGGAGGAAACAAAGGGCAGAACAGAGGGAGGCAGGGGACGCACAGCAGGTGGAGATGCTGTTTGCCCTGTTTTCAGCGGCTGGGCTCAGCACACACGAAGGCCTGTGCTCCCAGCTCTGACCCACCTGCCTCCAAAAAGCCTTCTGGATGGGCAGCCACCATGGGGCAGACTGGGGAGAGAAACACCAGGTTACAGCTGTGACACCCCCACACCACCCACTGCAGTGAGTGTGAAGAGCACTGGTCAGCAATGGTTAAATGCAGCCTGAGCTGGGTTAGCACAGGCGTTTTGATGCTGCTTCCCCGTGGAGGCATTTGCTTTTGAAAGTGAAAACAGAGCAGGCAGCCCATGTTGGTCAGGTTTCCTCTTGGAAGGTTTGATTAATAAAGTACTCTGGAAGTTGCTCTGCTCTCTGCCAGCTTACTGGAGCACCTCACCAGTCCAGGAGAGAATGTCAAGGGAGGAGCAGCACCAATCAACCCAGGCTCAACCCTGCTCTGAGTGTCAAAAGCAAAACAACCCAAGACTACAGAGAAACCCAGAGACCGGCCGGGCGGAGGCAGCTGCTGCTCAGCAGTAAAGCAGCTCCAGCCAGGCTCTCCCCTCTGGGCTTGTTTTTACTGAAAACAGAGAGGTCAGGCAGGGATGTGATCAGAAAACCCACCTCCAGCATCACCACAGAAACTCATCCCCGTGGGATTTAGATTTACCTCCAGTTTCTGGGTGACTTTTTTTTTCAGCTCTTCAGACACGAGATCCTCAAAGACAAAGCTCCAGCCAAAGGCTTCTGCCTCTGTTCTGTATTTCCTCTCTCTGACAAACTCCCTGGTGAAAACACAACACGATCAGGCATGAGGGGAGGGGGAAAGGGAGGGGGAAGGGGGAAAGGGATAGAAAAGGAGGGAGAAGGAAAAAAAAGGTGAG